AGCAGAAATTGTTACAATTCAAATGACATTTTCTTTTTTTCTGTATTTTTTTCCTACTGGAACAGCAATGTAAAAGTCAAACTGCCAATGATGTAATGGTTTTAAAACATTGTTTGAATCATTATGGAATTTTTTGCATTTGTTGTTTTAAGTCAGCAGCAATTTACTCTAGGCTTGATCTCRCTCAGTTTAGCTGTTAGCTCTTAAATCAAGTCAGAATTAAACTCTAATTCTTTATACTGAAACTGTGCTGAGAATTATGCACAACAGGTATGATGTTAATTTATCAAAACAATTCCAAAGTACAATATTTGAACAAATACTGAACTATCCCTTTAAGATAGACCCATATAATATGAGGGCAAATTCAGGACACACAGTCTCAAGGAACCTGGTGCTTGCAACTAAATTAGCCAAGAAAAATATCAATTAAATATATCTTTCAATCAAGGGACTGCATCCATGGGGAAGTGCATGATTTTTTCATCAACAACTTCAAACAGACAAGTCTGCTTTAATATCGCTTTTATCAACATTTTTCAAAACTTCCTGCTTGACTGTTCAAACTGAAACAGAAACAAGAAAATATGCATTTTTTAAGAGTGTTGCATACCTACTGACAGTCATCTGTTCATGCACATGTTTGTCACAGTGTTCTGTCCTCATTATTTTGAAAGTCAGTTCAAATGAGTGTTTGATTTGTGGGGACGAATGAGACGAAGAGAAGAAGGCTGGTGCAAATTTCTTAACAGCTAGGTAAGGAACAGAAAATTATTAGTTTTCAGAAGCATGGCAAAAGACAAAAGCCTTCAGTAGAATCTAATGGCATACTGAGCTTTTTATTCTTTTCTTCTTTTTTTTTGGTTCATCTGCACAAAATGTGGACTAAGAGTGGCACTCATTTGCATGATCATAAATACACACTTTTTTAGCTTTTGATAGCTGTGATAAAAGCTGGAATAGAGTGGATTAGACACCTTTTTACATAACTGTAAGGCACTAAACAGAGTTCTCACATATTACAATGTTCCTCATGAATAAAACTAATTCCATGTCTAAGCTGTTCTGACCACTTTTGTATTATTTAAAGCTTCCATCCGTCAAAGTTGGTGCCATTTGAAAATTGCCAAGATATTACCTTGAAGATTCGATGCCATGCAGAGTAAAACGCGTGTGGGGAGAGAGAAAAAGGTCATATTTATGCCTCTAGTGATGTTCATGGGTCTGACAGATAGCCAATTGTACACAGAGAGAAAATGCATTTATCAATCAATACAATATGCTTCCCTCTGTCATTGCTTTATAGTCTTCATGTAGGTCAAATGAGTTGTGCACTGACCTGACAATTTATGCCACGAGGTATATGCATTTGCACATTTTAGAATAAAATGTGTTTGCAGACATAGTGTGTGTTCTTGTATTCATAAATGACTTCTTTGTAATGTCCAGAAGCAGCTCTTTTCTGTGAAGGCTAATAAAAACAAATGTTGGGCTGCTTTTCAGCTCCCCGGTATTCCTCTGATAAAGGAGTCAGATCTGCTCACATCATTTTATTTTCCACTGCACCTGCGGTGTTAGGCTTTTCTTTCCCCCCTTCTTTTAACAAATGGCTAACTGGGCAGCTTTGATTACGTTTTTATGGTCTTTTAGCATCTCAACTTTGAAACAAATTCWCCGCAGCATGTAAAGATGAAGCCTCTCGGAATCGATGGCATGTGGCGCTTCGGGCCTGTGCCCACAATGCAATGTTTTGTATTTCTTGCAGCTCGTCTTCATCTTTGTCTGAGCTGCCAAGTGTGAATATTGACTTTTGGATGCTTTGAATTGTGGGGCTGGTGTGGCCAAATAACACCATT